CCAAACAAGTGCGCGTGTGTGAGGATCAAAGTGTGAGTGACATCCCGGTCATGGAACTGGAATGTTAATTATGATTTGCTGGTGTTAACTACGAGGGAGGTGGGTGGGTATGAACGGATCATGAAGTTCATTCAGGATGTCTTAAACGAGACACACACTGTTTGGACCAGGAGATGGCAATCAACCACGACATTATCATCATCCCTAGGGGCACTTGAGTTCCACTGAATGGGAAGGTTATGTATGTATAAAACAAAAAAAAAAGCGAAGTCAGAATGGCACCCTTAAAACACTGGAATCGGTTTCTCCTAAAGATTACCCTACCAAAAGTGAATAAATTATATCCATCAATAAACTGGAGATCATGCAAGTCCTACATGAATGCCATTGGGTATTGCAAAACATCTTCAAAAGCTTTCAGCTACTCAGACAAAGAAAATGTGACGGTACTTTGCCGAGCCGTTCTTCAGGATTGATCTTATTCGGGCTAGCCTCCAATGATCCCATTCCGTAAATATTTCAAGCTGCATATGAGTTGAATATGGCGGGCGCCAATAAGTCAGGATTCTGAGCTATTTAGCCTTTAATCCTCAAACGACTAATTTCCCCTGATCTACATTTTTTCAGGAGGTATCCTCGGAAGTGGATGGTATTAGTTCCGGTTCTCAGTCGGGTCAAACTGCATCATCAATATCTGCACCGTGTCAAGCGCGTTTTGATCTAAATGGTTTTGTGGTCCCACCGGAAGCTGTTTTAGACGTTCATTTGGGCTTACATCATCACGGAGAAGAACCAGAGGTGAGTCCAACATCAGGCACCTTATCCTATTGAAAACCGTTCCATCAACTTCCATTGGCTTGAATGTAATGTTCAGCTGAGTTTAACAGACATATGTGGTGCACGACGAAACCACAGTACTCCCTTCCCCCCTCCCCCCCCAGGTATACTTACCTCTGTATTCTCAAACAAAATCATATCCGGTCAGAATGACCAAGTGCTTGGCGCGATGTCAAACTTCGAACCGAAACTACATCCTCTTCGGAGGAAAAGTTCCCTTAAAAGGGATGAAATGTGTACCGGATTCCATTCAGCTCTGCATCTCTAGTCGCTGTCATTGTGTTTCATGATCTTGATATGTCTTCTCAACATAGGATTTACTATTTCAATACTTTTACAGGGAAAGAATCTCCAGGATTTAATACAAACGGGCGTTATCAGTGCCATTTAATCCTGTACTGGAAGGCGCTTCTCTGGTCCGTACAATCAAGTGCAAGCTGCAGGACAGCAGAGTATTGTCTCGTTTAAACACGCCTCCGCCCATTTTTCCGATTTCTTTATTTCCACAGGCGGCTTTTGTATGTCCCCAACCCCCTTTCCGAACGTTGAACATTGTTATTTGTATACTCAATAAACAGCAAAGAAAGAAAAAAATGTTAGGTGTCTCAACTACCATCAACTTTGTTTGGTTCCCCTGTCGAGCGAGGTTCCGGGGCATGGCTGCTGTCCGCTAGGGGACGGCTTCTCGGAACCGCAGGTGGGTAAGAGCTTAGTGTGAGCTATAGGCCAAAAGCTGGTGGCATGCCTCAAGGGAACATGAAATTCGAGGTTAGAAGCAATCACTGCGGTTTCAGTACGCTCTTAGTGATGGGTCAAATAACCCGACTTTTCTTTCGTTACTCATTTTGATAAATTCTCTCTCGTTTTTGTTTTCTGTAGATATTTCTTTATCAAGTCTGCTTTGAGTTAGTTTTCACCGCAATCAACTGTAATCCGGCGGTCACATTTACTCAATTGGATTCGGTGCCAAGTTACTAAGATGATATGATATGATCAAGAACAATGCACTTTTACAGGGGCCCTACTATAATGTGACATTGTCATTCCTTGTTCCATTTTTAGAGAGCTGGTTACACTGTGGGAGAACTATTCCATTTGGCACGATCCAGCGTACCTGCACAAAGACGTCTAGCTTTGTCTGGCCTGGCTGCATCCCTTGTCCAGTCCAGGCGCGGTCGTCATGTACCACATTTGGCTCCGTCGTATGCGCCCAGCCTCATTCATGGTCTCTTAGCTGCTCCCGAATTTTCCAATCAGTCTGATGCAAACAATGGTACCAATGATGTTAGCGGTGGTGGCGGTAGCGGAGGAGGTATTGCATTTTTACTTCGATGGTGTTTAGACGAGGCTGTCAGTGCTTTGACAAGTGTTAGCACTGCGGCCGCTGGAGTAAGTGACACCGGTTCCGCTGCGGGAATATCACTGGGACTGCTGGTTGAGTGTGTGCGCGGCTTTGCGTGTCTACTATCTGATACCCTCGGCGAGGTAAGCCTCCTATGTCAGTTCTGACTAATTTCACCTCTATTCAGACTTATCTGGCTAGAGCATTAGCTTGGTCTTCGAGCTGGCTTTCACCTCCGTTCCTAGCTACACGTGCTCACTTTTCCAAGCGTCGTCAAACGCTTCCCGGTGTTACAATGAGGAAACTGGACCCCGAATCGGAGGAAGATGTGGATCATTCAAAAGCCATGTGCCGGGATCCAGTTCGCTTTTTGTTCACCGAGAGTCAGTTAACTCGACGTCTGGCATGGGTTCTGGCAGACGGTCGCGGAAGACCACGCGCTAGGTTGTCTGCAGATGCTGTGGGATTATGGCTTCCGGCTATGTTGATACGCGGTGTGCGTCATTCCGCCGAGTTAGCTTACAAAGTAAGCATTATTTTCGCTATAGAAATAAAATATCAATAATTAATTCTCCCTTAGATATTTTCCACACCAGAATTGTTCATCACATTACGTGATAACTTTCTCCCGGAACTGGAGACTCACATGAATCACGGTGCATCGTTGTCGAGACCTATCAGCCTGTCGGAAGCTTACAATCTACCACTTCCTTCCGTGCTACAACTCTTTCGAATAACAATGATGTCCAGTCCAAGCATTCGATTGACAATGGTGAGTAATAATTGTTTCCCCATTATTATTCAATAATGAACATTAACTCAACTAATGACATCACACCGTAGCACATTTATCTGTTTGGTCAAAAGGCTGTGTCGTATCAACCTCAGTTTAATAGAAGATTCGGTCAGTTCTGTCATGCACCATCATATTGCTCCAACGAACTGACGAACCAGTGGTGACCGAGTTGATACGACGGATTAATCCTGCAAAAAACGCATTCCTCCTGGTGACAATCTATCATTTCACTACGCGCTGCTCATTTTTCATCTGGTCCCATTTGGTTTCGTCCGTAGGTATGTGTGCGTGTTTTGCTTATTTTTCGTATTATGCTCAATCTCAGTTTACAGTTCCAGTAGAAATGAGCATTTAGCATTGTCGTAGATTTATTATTGTCCTTTCTGTTGCTTAGGTTGCTGTTATTCTGGGCGCATATTCTAACATTTCGCTTGTCCCGTTTGAGCTCTCATGCCTCGTTTTTGGTCGATTAAAGCCTATCATTAAGGCGTTGTCTTCTGGCTTGTCTTCCGATTAAACGTGTTATCTGATACACTACAAGTTCTCGTCAATCATACAAACTGCTACGTTACAAGCATATTCACTAAGAAAATGTTATCAATACTTGTTCAAACGAATGAGTATATTCACAATGCCAATGTTTATCATTCAGTTCAATCCAGTTGATACGACCATTGAGCATGCACTTGCTTACGGCGGTTTTAGTTCCTGTCTTTTGGCTGCCTATTTGGATAAAAGAACAGAATGAAGATTGGAATGTTGAAAACAAATTCAAGCAGAAGATAGAGAATTTATACTGACCGAGGTTGCAAGAATAATGAATAGATGCATGAGCGCCTTCTATCTTCGACACCCAGCCATGTCTCAGTGACCATCAGTGTCCATGATCTCGAGGTCCCCAACCAGGAAGCCTAACGGGACTTATGTGACCGAGTTTCTTCGTTAGGGTTTTCATATCCCAATGTCAGGTTTTAGCTCTACGACCCTTGGCTTTACTCCACCCACTACCTGCCTCAGCGAACAGCGCTCGCCGTGGTAACCTACCTGGTGACATGCGTAACACGTCCCAGCCAACGTAATCTATGGTCGATCGCGGTTACCTAAAACTCCACGCCTGACCTCAGCATCGCTCATCCGGCCACCCCACCTGATTCGTGCAATGCTGTGTAGACAGCGGTGTCCAAACACCGACAGTCTATATTTATCCTGCTTTCTTAATGACCAAGTTTGTGCGCCGTATAGCAGAACTGGCCGAACTATCGCGGCGTACACTCGACCCTTCACAGACACAGAGGTCGAGAAGGCGCCACAGATGTCTCAAGTTGGCAAATGCCAACCGAGCCCTCTGTATGCGAGCTGGCACTTCATCTGTGATGCGTCCACCAGGTGAGATGTAGCTGCCCAAGTAACAAAACCTGTCCACTTGCTCTGTTACTTCCCCAGTTAGGATGAGGCTGGGTGTTGGACCAACCCAGTCTTTTAGTAACATTTTGCACTTTGAAGGTGCAAAACGCATACCGAACATGGCTACGCTGGCACTCAAGCTATACAGAAGAGCCTACAACTTACCTGGGTCTTCAATTAGCAGAACAGTGTTGTTTGCATACTTCGATATTGACACTACTTCCAATATTCCAAGAGGGCAGATTGAAATGTTGGGAATACTATTAATGTGGGAAGGTGGATAATTCAATGCGGTTACAAGAAGAAGTTCATGCACAAGTGTCGCTGTTTGCAATATTTAACCATATCACTCAGTGTCTCTAACAATCGATTCCGAGGTCCTCATCCGAAGAGCCTACCGCGACCTATATAACCAAGTTTCCCGGTCAGGTCTTTCGTATCCCCATATCAGGTCTTAGTTTAATCATTCTTCATTTTTTCCCACCCACTACCTGCCTCGATGAGAAACACGTGTCGAGGAAGACTATCAGTTAACAAGTGTAGCACATGTCCCAGCCAGCATAATATATGGAGTTCAGGCATTTGCTGTAGTGCGCGACCACGACTCTGCCCCTGACCGCGGCATTGCGTGTTCGATTGTTCCACCAGACTCGCGCAATGCTGCGTAGATCGCGTTGTTCGAACACCAACTGTCTATTCTTATCCTGTTCCCTTAATGACCCGGCTGCACCACATAAGAGCACCGGCCGAATTGCTGCAGCGTACACTCGACACTTCACAGATAGTTGGATGCCAGAACAGCACCATAGATATCTCAAATTGGCAAAATCCAACCGAGCCCCCGTTAAGCTTGCCAAAACTTCATCGGAGATTTGTTTACCAAGTGAAATGGAGCTGCCCCAATAACAGTTTGTTTACTTTCTCTGTTATGTCCCCGGTTAAAGTAATGTTGAGGGCTGGGCCAACCCAATCTTATAGCAACGTTTTACTCTTAGAAGCTGTAAAAACGCATACAAAACAGCAGCTACGCTGCTATTAAAAGAGCCAACAGAAGCAGTATAAGGTCATCTGCATATTTCAGATCATATAGAGTACCGTCTGGCAGTATATCGATGCTGCTATCCTCACAAGAGGTCAGGACTGTTTCCCGAATAGAATCATTTACGAAGTTGTATGGAAAACGATATAGAAGGTAAACCTGGCGAACAACGCTTTCAGTGGTGAACTGGACCGAAAATGAGTCGAAAACGCAAACTCAGCTTCGGCTGTGAGTGTTTAGAAATAAAACTTTCTGGCAAACCCTTAAAAAAGAGGCAGTCTCAGGGTGTGGAGCGGATGAATGAGTCTTAGGTCGCTCCCAGATCAAGAAAAATAGAATTTGTGGGTCTAGAAAAGGATGTCTGTGTTCGTAATTTGGCAAGGAATGAAAATATATATGATCGACCATACCTGCCTGGTTCGCATACCTGCACCGTTCCGTGCGGTGGTCAATCGCAGGAATATGATGCTACTCGGAAGCTTATATACGATGTTGAACAAACTAATTCCCCTGTGGTTTTCACAATAGGATGTCATTTTTCTTGACAATGGGTAAGATCACCGATTTATACCTCTCAGTTGGAACCGGTTCACTGTCCTGCAGTATACCCCCGTAGGTCGTTTGCACAAATGGCTCGAGTGGATAGTAATACCCGATCTAGCTTACGTACTGTCCAAGTGATTCCATCAGTAGATCGTCAAACTGTTACTTAATGATTTCATCCACCTTGTAGCGATAATTCAACGGCATTAAAAAAAAATTTAAACATAACACTACTGTATTCGGATTCATGTATACAACTTGCCCCGTTCAAAGCAGACCAAACTACTCACCACTCATTCCTCTCTCTCTCTCTCTCCCCCCCCTCCCTCAATGTATAGGTGAACGATTTGCGCATTGTCGAACGTTGTTTGTCCTACGTGTCCTGTACGGACTGCGCGCGACTCCGTTCGACTACGACTGTGGAATCACTTATCACTCATGTGCCTGAACAACTCCCAACGTGTGTTGCATTCCAGTTGCAACTTGAGGCACTGCGATGTTTGACTGTTTGTTTGCAAACGTGCGAACTGGACTCCTCGGATCAGGCTCCCCCACCTCCTATTCTTGCATTAGATTTGATACAGTGAGTACTGAATTCCATTTTGCCTGTTCACCGAGCGTGGCAATTTGTTTGCAATAATTTGTCAACAGTGAGTACCATAATTTGCGTTTCACTTCTTCCTGATAAGTTTACGCCACTGGTCATAGTGACAGGTAAAACGGTCACTGACTGACAAAATTAGGCTTACACATAGTATTGCGGCTCAGAAGAATAAGTATGGTACCAACGCAACAACGGTGAAAATTAAAAGGAGAAAGAGTATTTTACACCGACGTGGAAAATGAAGCGAAACAGTTTATGCAGATCAACGAAGTCAAGATTGAAAAGCATGCTTGTTCTTGTTTCGGCGTACACGTTTTGTTTTTATGGTACACGGGATGATACGAGAAAGCTTATAGTTGAACGCATTGTGGATTGTTGTACTACCCGATCTCCCGGTCTATAGTAAGCCTTATTCGCTGCAAATAGGCCGCTGTTCCCTGATCCGCCAACTGGGGACGCACACTGGGTAGGATACAACTCTTCTTTTATGAATTGGATAATGTCATAGTGCATATCAACACAGACACACACACATCTCGCTCATTCGGCATCCACAGCCTCCCGCACTGGTTTGCCGTTTTCAATAGAATCGTAATCACACTGTGCGGATTACCGTTTGGAGAGGAGACATTGAACTGCGAATGTAAACATAGAGCCTAAATGTAGCAACACAATCTTCAAACAGTCTGAGTTACCAAACAATACTGTCTATCCATATACCTAGATAACCGGTAACAGAATCTTTCGGGTGACAGTTTTAACGGTTAGAGACACTTATTTCTGATCACTCCGTTGATGCTTTTAAGGACAGCGGCGTCGGTAATTAATCCAGTCATTTACATGCTGTCTGAACGAGTCCACTATCACCACCTGGCCTGGCTGAATAATGAGGTGATAAGGACTATCAACAGTTCGATTGTTTCACACCTTGTGAAGCCAAACCACGTGGTTGATGTGACCTAGGCGTTTCGACCCATCTGCTTAGTTCAAAGCCGATGATCTAAGGATGTTACTAGTCGCATTCTGTCCGCAGCGGAAGCGATCAGAATCCGCCCACAAATCCCCCCCCCCACTATGCTCGCAAAAATAATTCGTTGCTTTCGGGTCAAATTAAAGTGACTATCACTGAAGACGACATCTGAACGAACATGAATTGGCAATTCTGTTCAGCTATGGCATGAGCCGGTTGGCACACATACACATGCCTTCCATACGATGGGTCCAGAGTTCAAATCCCGGACCGAACGGTGTATATGCACTACTAATGAGTTCCAATAAGAGCGAAACTCAAGTCTAGTGCTTCTCAATGTATGATTGACTGGAAGAGCTGATCAATGTCCTGGACGGGGAAGTCTGAAGGATGGTAAGTTACAATCTGTTAATTCGTGAGCACACTCGATCTTCAATGACTAACATACACGACACAGTCACCTCTCCCCCACAAAAGCGTATGGGCGCGTATTTATGCGTGTATGACGTGTATGATGACCAAATTGTGAGCAACATATCCGGTCCTAGAGCTGCAATGTTGATCATTTCTCTTCTCATTCTGTCATGTTTTCTCCCCCCTCCCCCGACTAAACCTTTTGACATAAATTTTGATACATTAGCCCGTAGATAAATCACTGCAAACGAGCTTGTTCACCAGTGTGTATTGTTCTCACATGATACCTATTACACCACTATAAACACAATGCGCAGTCCCTAATACACCTGAAGAATCAACTGGCCTATTCTAACCAAAACGTAGTCAATTAATGTAGCCCTTCGCTCGGGCTGTTTTTATTTTATCACCAGAATGCTCATCACCTGAGTCTAGTTAGGGACACAAGTTGTGAACTGTTGATAAGTTCCGATAAGGGGAAAAATAGCTATTTGGTCTTCCTATCCGCCGTTGCTCTGAAATCTCGTCGCATGTATGATGTGCGAAACATATAGTGGAATGAAACTCACAAAAAAACAGTTCCTGTTGCCTCTACTGTTTTGACCGAATATGATAAAAATTATCCATGTTTCTATATATTTCACACATGTGTGAATCCATGCTATGTACCAAACAAACAGTGATCTTTATAAAATAGAGAAAGTTCCACGATTTGTTTGTTTGTGGAATACTGCCTGGTTGCTTAGGCCAAGGCAGGTGAATTCTTTTGGGGAATTCACAGTCGAAGCCGTTGACTAGCCAAAGCCTAACCTGCAAGGCAGCGAGCTGGGCAGTGTGCAAAATTCACAATTCACTGGGGGCCGGTGTCCAGTGCATTGGATCACACACCCTTTGGACGGGGTCAAACATCCAAGGTGCCCGATACACTTCGATGCTCAATCGAGCCGGTGACCACTGCCACAACCAAGAAGGTGTCGGTGAGTGTGTGATTCATACACCATGACTGATCGATATAGTGTCAAACAGTGGTCAATCAACTGCTATTCGTGTACCGGTTGTTTTCGGCACAGCCGATATTTCTGTCGCTCGATTTTTGGTCTTCCCACATTTATATCTGTTCAAAATCACAGGTCACGTGGATCTGCTTTGGTAGCGTCTGGAATGCATTGTTACCACGTTTATCGGGCCCTCTGCGAATCTGACTTGGAAGACGCGATTGCCCAGGCATCCTTGGTGGTACCACTTCTCACCAGTTGGCTCTCGTTCCTGGTCGTGTCATTTGAACAGCTAATGAATCAACAGACGTATGTGTATAACTGTTTAAATCAATTACAGTTGAATACTTTGCCTTACGTTTTGTATCACAGTAATGTCCAATAGTTGAATGCATCGTAGAAAGTGGTCGCTAAGCTCAAACAAGACTACCATCCGAGTAGGTAATTTACGTGTGTTAGAGCGATAATGAATCAATAAATATTACGCACTTCATGTTATGAAGAGCAGTTCTATCCTCTTTGAGGAAAAAGTGAGCCAAACGACCCCTTTGAGAATCACGAGGATGGTACATTGTCTCACTCTTTTCTCGGCAAATTTGACAGACGAGAACCGTGAGCATCAATGAAGGATGAAGTTTATAGGAACGTTCGCGGGTGCGCACGAACGGTGGAATTCATTTAAGCGGACTACTAAAAAGCATTGAAGTAGTCATTTGTGAACTAGGCTTATCGGAAAGTCGATCCACCCGTAATCTCTCACCTTGTACATGAACAACACCATTTAAGGAGAAGAACCGATCAAAGACTGTCATCAATTCGTACAGATCACCCTTGGACATAAACTTGGACTCTGGAATGATTAGGGTGGTTATTAAAGTACTTCTGGCAAACAAGTCGATGCAGTTTCAGTTCAGTTTTTACAACCATTAACCATGCACTTTCGTGCGCCGGTTTTGGTTGCTGTCTTTTGGTTGCCCATTTGGATAAAAGAGCCAAATGAAGATTGGAATGTCGAAGCAAATTTAAGCAGAAGATGGGGAATACATATAGAGTGGTGTTAGAAAAATAACGAGTGGATGCACGAGCGCCACTGTTTGCGACACCCAGCCATATCACTCAGTGTAGCTAACCATCGGTGACCATCATCCCGGGGTCATATCATTTAATCCATCGATAGAGGGACTTGATCACAGTGGAACTACTTTTCCTGCGTTCATCAGATTACGCACATGGACAGGATAGAGATATATTATTCAATTCGGAATATATGCTAAGCGTTATTTGGATAATTCGACACTTGAACGATAGATATTATATTGGTGCTTCTCTGGTCGTAACAGAACAGTGGAGTATAATCCACTAGCAGCACACCAACTGGACTTGAATCTGAATAACAATGTGGCCTATGAGGTCCCGGGTTCGATACCCAGTTGGGTCGATAGATTCGCACTGCTGATGAGAACCAACCAGATTGAAACAGCTGTCCAGTGCTTCCTACCTTTTCATTTCACGCCTCACTTGCTCTACACACGACGAATTCCCCATTGAACTGAGACATACATCGGTCGAACAATATCCTTGAGCATCATCGCCCCACATGATTATTCAGGGGGCCGGCCACACTTACAAACACTCGTACGCAAACGATCAAGGTAAACCGCCAAGACATGCCATGGAATTCGGGGCCTATGTGACCGAGGCTGGTCGCAAAACTGTCTGCATAATGATCATCCAAACATGCTATGAGGCAACTCTCTCTGATGAGGTCAACGGGATCGCCTGAAATGATACTCGGACATCTGGGACTTCAAAAGGGGTATGATACATCTTCAAGATTACCACGATAGGTGCAGGGTGAAATCGTCCACCTTTTCAGCACTTCCATCGTGTCAGCTGCATTTCATAGTTTCTTCTGAACACTGTCACCTTCGGAAACTCAATGTCGATAAAAAGAACCAAGAAAGAGAGAGAAAACTAGGCTAGACGGTAACCCCCTCGATTCAACCTGAAGGAACCCCCTATATTGATTATTGGTAAAATTTTATTGTTGTATCGTGGACAGTGAATTCAGTATTGACATAACACCCTTTAATCGAGTTTGTATCATAAGTCTGTTTGTATGCACTACCAGTTCATGTTTAACACTATTTTTAGATCGTCCCCCCCAGTTTCGACTCAATGGGGACTTTCAATTCAATAATTCCTCTTCCAGATTGTGCGCATCATGGAAACCGAATCCCACTGTGCTCGGCCCGTGGATCGATCAAATTGGTTCTGTTTGCACCGAACTTTTGCGATACGCTCGCAGTGTACTTCAAGGAAGAGGTGAAATGCCAACGTTGGACGACTTAGAAGTACGATCCGTGTTCCGGGCAAATTCTTTTCTTCTTTGATTGCTTCATTTGATCGGGCTGTATGTGTATTGGTGTTTATTTTACAATTGTCCTGCGTCCACGAGACCCATTTCACTGCACAGGGTTAGGGTTCTCGTCTGCTGTTATATGCGCTTTAGTTGTCGGTAGTTGCCTCACTGAAGAAGTCTTAGTAAAGGAAGGAGGTCGGAAAAGAAGATTGAGTCAAACCGGTTCTAGACTATCCTCTCTGTTTTTTTAATGATCTGATATAACATGATAATGTAAACCTCTGTATTACTGGGGACTTAGTGGAGGAAGTAGTCAAAGTTGGCTCCTTAGACAGTTATGTTTCATCTGGCGGATGCATCGCCACGCATAGAGAAAGCTCGATTGACATTTACCAACTCAGGATGTCTATGGCACCGTCACGGCATCTGACTGTTTGCAAAGGGTCCAGTGTATGTTGCAGCCGGTCGGCAAGTGCTGCTTTACCGTACAAAGATTTGGACATTAAGGGAACACGATAATACACTGTCAATGTTTGAACATTACCATATACACAACATTGCTCTTGGGGGTAGCGGGGTGTTCAGCCGGACAAGCAATGCTGAGGATGAGACACTTTAGGCGATAGCGAGAATCCACGGAAACAAGTGGTCGACCTCCATAGACGATGCTGGTCCTGGAATGTGTTGCGCGTATAACAAAGTAGAATATCGCAGCAGTTAGCATATGAAAAAAGCCAACGGTGGTCAAACTAAGCGTTGCTATGAGGATATGAAATCTTTAACCAGGAGACTCTATTATATATTGGTCGCGTTCGAACCCCTGGTTAGGGGACCTCGGGATCGTCATAACCGGTTGTTCGCGTCCCTGAGTGATATATCTGAGCGTCGTCAACGGTGGCACTGGCGTATTTACTCATTATCCTCCCAACACTAATCTGTTAGTTTCCTCTATTTTCACTTTGACTGTGCTCTCAACATTCCAGTCTTCCTTGTACTCTTTTATTAAAACGGACTGCCAAAAGGCAGTAGCCAAAACTGGTGCACAGGGTGAATGTGTTGTTCAAACTGAAACTGAAAAAAATAATTGGAATAATTGGATTGTTTACAACCTCTGAATTGGGAATCTATTGTCTGCTGATGACACAATTCCCTGTTTCTGGCCATCACGTGACTTGCACTTCTAGTTTGTTTTTTATTGTTAAAAATGTTTTCCCAATTACACACTACCAATTTTTCGAGAAAGGTGGACAGGGTAAAGATTACACAATGTGCTGTTCACGTCTGAAAACCGGCAACATAACCTCTGGAACTCGGTAGGGGAAACTGGATAAAGCTGTACTAGCATAGATGTGATGTTGATACCAAAGTTGAGACCCAAACCCCCGTAACACCATCAACTGGCGGCGTTATGATAAACAAATAAGATTTGATAACGTGTGACAATTCTTGTTATGAAGATGTGTGGCCAAATTGGCAACTTCTTCCTCGATAGACTAGATGCAAATGAGCCACTACAGGGACTAGGATTCCTTCACCCATTAGCGAGACCTTTCTGCGTTGCATTGTCCAATTGTACTATTTTAGATTACCCAGGTTGATCGTACACTTGGACTTTGTTTGTGCTTCATCGGTCATGGAAGCGCATGTGCTCCGGAGAAACTAGACTGTCTATTTGAAGGATACT